CCACAATCCCAATGGGCGCGGGAGACTGCGGGAACTATGGGATAGCTATGGAATTGCTACCCACAGTGCAACGGTGCAGAAATCGACGCTAGCCCCAGTACTTGGACGCACACCACCGAATTAATGTGCTAGTGTGGCCGCATTCATTTCGACTTTATACAACCTGTTTCTCAAATCCGAATTATCTAAATTCGGATTAATCCCGTAGTGTAGACATACCCTAGGATACATAGTCCTGCCATGAGTACAGGGGACCGGACTAGATGACCTTTTGAAGTCCCTTCCAGTCCTATGATTCTATTCTATGTTCTAATTGTGGAAGAGCTTGGTGACAGAATGGTCAGATGTGTGAATCACTGGAGATTAACTATACTGTAGCAGGTTGGGACTCACCACTGCTGGCACCTCCTGCTGGTCACTCCAAGAATTAGCTCTAATCCAGCGCTGGAGAACTCTCCTCTGGCAGTGGCTTGCCTGTCGTTACCTGCCCTTTCCAAGGCTCCACCACGTTAGGCCCCGCATCTCTCCCAGACCACGGCACACTGCTCCAGGGTATAGCCCTCTACAGCCCTAGTTGAGGCCCTGTATCAGCCGTCAGCCTGGGAGTTGGTTAGGCCAGAGCTCCCCTGGCTCCTCCTGAAGTTCCCCAGCATTGCTCTGCCCAAGGTACCTTTCCCTGTCTAGGCAGCCAGTCCTCTCTCCAAAGCCCCGCAGCTTCTTATTGGGCACAGCCTGGCCCTGATTGGCTTCCCTCAGCTTCCCTCCAATTGGTTTCTGGCACAGCCCTCTCCCAGGGCTGTTTTTAACCCTATCTACTCCAGTGCAGGACAACCACCTCATCACAACCCCCCCTCAAGCTCACCACCCCTGGGGGCAAAGGTGTCTCCGAGCCTGGGAGACCTGAAGTTGCCCCTTGAGCCTTGCTCACCTTTCTTCAGTCTCTGCTAACTGAGCATGAAGACCTTCCTTCTCCTCAACGACCTTCTCCATTTCTTCCTTCACCTGCATCAGGTCTCCCTCTGCCCACAGGCAGGCAGGGGCTGGGTCCCTACCATAACCTGCTCCACAATGGCGTTAGTCCCGACCTCTCACTGGGCCCTCTGCCCCATTCCCTTTGTCTGCCACCTCCTGTAGGAAATGACTCCCTGGCAGATCTACTGTCATCACCGTGGCGTCCACCTTGCCCAGTGTTGACCCTTTTGATACCAGTCAGCTCTGTGTTTTCGGGAACCAGGGCACAGTATCCAGCCTGTCTGACTCATGAAGGCCAACCCCCACCCCCACCCCCCAGCCTCTGCTTGAACCAAAACCGCTCAGAGAAAAGACTTACAAAAAGCAATGAAAAGGCCGTGGGAGAAACACCTAAACCCCTCAGGACAAGGGTGACAGGATTAAGGCAACTCCCCTAGCCTCATCTGCATCAAAGATGGGACAGGGAGGCATCTCCATTAGCATACAGGATGGAGAACAAGAGATTCCAAGGCAAGAACCGCACTGAACTCTGGGACCAGAAAAGCAGGGAAGCACTGCATCATGGGGCATCTCCGTTCCAGATGTTAATGAACCTATGCCTCCCCACGCCCAGAGCAGCACTTTGCAGTCAAAATCTTCTCATGGGTTCTTAACTCCTTCCGA